CCTGCATTTCCCCCTTCACTCTGTCTTAATACCCCTCTCAGAAAAAGAGGGCTAAGGTTTCAGAGAGATACACGGACTGCCCAGTGGCAGCTCTCAGTGACAGCATAACGGCCTGTGGTTTTCTGTCCAGCTTCGCTCGGTCCTCGGTGTACTCGTGGGCTTGGGCGTTTGTGTGCTTGTATGCGTGCGCGTGCGTGCGTGGCAAGGGGTTTTACTCACTCCAGCCCTAGAGCTACACTGAGCTTTAGAGCCACAGCCCCCTGCTGCTTCTCAGATTTGTGCTGTGTATGTGTGTGTGTGTCTATCCTCCCACTCAACAAAGGCTTCTCAGATACTACTAGTCCTCTACAGGTCTTCTGAGTAAGGGGCTGGAGGCAGGGCCAGCCTCTTTGTGATGTTCTCATAGGGGATTGTAATGAGTTGTGGATGGAGCGATAGTGATGTTTATTTATGTATACACCGTTTTACTTCATTCAGGCATTTATGACTACTCTGGTTTCTGGTGATAGATGCTGGAGTCAGAGTATTTCATGTCTTTTTTTCTTGTGTTACTGTTGTGATTTTATGTATTCATTCATATTTTACCGGTTTTTTTTCATGGTTTTATTTGGGCTTTTTAGCATCTTTGTTGGCTTATATATAAATATATATTTATATCATCATGATTTAAAAACTTATACATGTACACTACCTTTCAAAAGTTGAAAAATGGATACTTTCAGAATTGGGTGCATTTCAATTGACAGTGAAGACATTTTATGTTACAAAAGATTTCGGTTTCAAATAAATGCTGTTTTATTACTGTTCATCAAAGAATGCTGAAACAATATCAGTTTGGACTAAAATATTAATCGGTGCAAAAATGTTTCTTGAGCACCAAATCAGCATATTAGGATGATTTCTGAAGGATCATGTGACACTAAAGAAAATTCAGCTTTGCCATTACAGAAGTAAATAATACTTCACAATTTTAATGTTTTACTGCATTTTTGATCATATAAAGAGGCTTCATAAAAACATTTTTAAAAAGCTTAAAATGGCTACAAGCTTTTAAACGGTAGTGTTCCTTTATATAAATATAATTAAGATATATAAATATATGTTTAAAGAAATATTTTTTGCCATCTCCCATTTTGTTGTTTTGTCAGAATAAAATGACAGCACATTGCTCGTTTTGTTTGTTGTCATCCATTGTGGTGATTGCACTATTGTACATGACAGCATGATGTTTCTGCAGGATGTACCATGTCTCCCTGTCACCATGTCAATGGACTGACAGCATCAGCACAGTCTCTTGGATTAATAGTTCAATAGCTGGCTACTAACCCCTGACTTTTCCATGTAGGCCTTTGTTTCAGTGGGCTGCTGGTAAACAAAGACCATTCTGTGACCTGAGGTTTTTATGTGGCATTTGTTGACAATAGGAGCATTAGATACCGTTGACTTCAAAAGAAATGAGGCATATTTTACTAAGATTTTTTAAAAATAAATAGAGAAAAATATTAGGAAGAATTAAAATTGTGTTGTGAGAATATATGTGAAGTTGGTCAGTTTAAATGTCAGTTTGAATGCGCATTTTTATATATATCAGCTGTTTCTGTTGGTAAGAAAATATTGTTGATTTGTATTTTTTTTAATAGAGAAATTAAACTTTGGCTTTCCCAAACTATATTCCTGTAAGTAAAATAGCCCTTGGATGCTGCCATACTGATACAATAAACAAACCTGCCGACAAATATTCTCATGCAAGTTGCTTTTTGACAGAGTAGCTTCTCAAAATACAAAAATATCCTGATTGGTCATCATGAAAATGTCTTTTTCCTTCTTTCCTTCCGTTATTGTCTTCTATCTGTTTCCTTTGTCTCAGTAAGGGCTATTTTCAGTGTTGCTAAAAAAAAAAAAAGACAGAAGTAGGAAATAGGAAAAAAAAGAATTGGACAGACTTTAAATGGTAACTCGAAGTTCCTCTTTCACCTTTTAGAGAAGGAGCAAAGGCTGTGGTAGTAGGGCTCAAAACTTAAGTGATTCTTCCACTCACTCTTTGAAAAAGCACCATGACAAGGAAAAGAAGGTAAGGCAGCCTCCAGATCTACCTCACTTCCTGCCATGTGTGATTGATGCCCCCCTCCTCACGACTTCAGACTATGAGGTAAACGCACAAAGCCAAAACTCTTGTTTGTCCGAAATATGCACCGCTGTGATTAGTTTCGTTTAAATCACACGAGCCACCGTCACCCTGTGCCGCCCCTCACACGCACACTTTTCATATCCCACAAAGCTTTTAAAGCCACGGGAGGGAGAAGAGTGCCTTTTATCACTCAAAGTGATTAGTATTTTGGTGCTGCCACAAATGATCAACATAAAGAGTGCTGTATTCATAGAAAAGCATCCGTCATGGCCATTAGTTCCACAGAGTACGTTTAATCAGTATTGATAGGTAGTATAGTAATTTGTTCCACTAATTTTCTATACGCAGCCATACCGAATGAAACATGTAGCATTATTAGCCCTGTTCGCCTTCCCATCTAATTCAATTAAGCATAGGCCCTGTAACATGACCTCATATCAGTAAATGTGTACGTACCAGCAGAAGATGATCTGTACTGCGTGGAAAACATGTTTGATTGTGCCTCTGCCTCTATTTTTCTCTTCTTGCTGTAATAACGGTGGTATCTGAAATACTAATCCAGCAGACCTCATAGTGTGAAATGTGCGGAGGAGCTCGTCACATCTATCCATCGTCACTGATAAATTTCTGCCTGTCCCTAGCAGATCCCACATATTTCAAACACTCAGCCTCTGTGCAGCCATCTTAATCAGCAATAGCTTGCCTGATTTGTTCTATACGAACCAGGTCATTAAAATGGCTCTCAATGTTGATTAAACGTTTCTTTAAATGTGTCGTCGCATTTTTCCATTTTTGACGTTTGTTGGAAGAATTTACGTTTATTTATGTTCATATATTTACTATTTATTTAATATACTCATCATTTAATAATTCTGCTTAATTATTATTATTTATTATTAATTTCTAGTGATATTTTTTATTTTAAATAAAGGGAATTTTATGACATTTTATGTCTTTTTTTAAATCCCCTTAAAATGTAAAAAAATGTAAATTCTTTTGAAACGTGATAATTTTTTTTTGCTATTCTGCAAGCTTACCAGCTTATATATTAAGTCACGAATCAATTGTAAAGTGTGGAATCACACATGCATTTTTTTTGTTTGTATAACAAAACAATTAGGCTAAAACCATTTCAGTCATTATGAATCACATTTTAAAGTAATGTAAAGTATTAGACTCCATTTAAGGAATTGTATTCCATTCATGTATTTAAATGTGAATCTGAAAGCTCTCAATAGTCAGTTGAGCACTTACAGCGGGGAGTGGAGGTCATTCATCGAGGCTGTTGGTTATTTGACACAAATTCACTAATTATTTGAATTGGTTTGAATGAGTTTGCATTGGAAATGCATACCAAAATGGAGTGGATGGTGCTCTTTTAAGCTGCTCAAAGACCGACTGTGCAGCCTGTGTAATCTAGGTCAGCGAAAGATTAAATATGAGATGCCATTTAAAGCCGTTTCTCCCAGAATTATTCTGATATTTAACTTCTTCGCCTTATTCTGCATTGAGAGGGGTTGACATAAACAATGATTCGGGTTGGAGCCGTATTCTTGAAGATGGTGTTGTGGAGTGCTCTGTGCTCCGCCATGGCTATTGTTACGATGCCTGATTTGCATTAGCAAAGGGGGCCCATCCCCCCTACTCCACATTCCCAGGTCAAAGGTCGGGGGGCTCAGATGTATACCTAGCTAATTCCAAACCCCAGGGCCAAACAACAATAGAGGCTAAAAGCTTCTCAATTTGCAGCTAGTTCAGATGTGTTCTGAGAGGCGGTCGAGAGCGGCATGTGGGAATAAAATGATGTTTTCAATCTCTTCCTCCTCCTCCTGCCTCACATATCTTAAATTCTGATCTGTTTGGGTTTTTTGCTTTGTTTTCTGGATGGTTAGTTTTCTTCTTTTGTATTTAAACTTTTTTTATTTTATTTTAAGATTTATTATATTTATTCATTTCCGTAGTTGAATTTTAATACTTAGCCCGAAGCCTCAGGAGTAATTTCTCTGTTCATCCTGAAAGAGATTTGCTACATTCACTAATCTGCTGAAGGCATTGATGAATTATGATAAATGTCTTGGCTTTTTGTTCTCTCTCTTTTGCACTCACCTCTGCCTGAACTATTCATCTTTGTATAATTAAGATAGCTGTCTGTCGTCTTATGTCAAACTCTTGCAAGATGTTTATGTCAGAATTTTAATTAGACCAGTAAACAGCAGTTCATACCTGCGTTTTGTCATTACGTAAGGGTCTGCATATCTAGACTTTAAATTTATTTATTTGATGGAAATAAGATGAATGTTATGTTGTGTATTTTTCTTTTTTCCATTCATAAACGCAGCCAAGTAGTGACATGATTTTTTTTTTCTCACAATAACGCCTGCCCTGTCAACACCTTTAGGAACAATGTTAATTAAGACTTGGATTCTTGTCTTGGCATCCATTTAAAATTAGCACTTTTCTTGGGGAGCAAATGTGGCATTACAAAGCTTTATAATTTCAGTAAATGCTGTTATAATTTTAATGATTTTGTCACCATTAATATACTTGTCATTTTGCTGCATATAAACTGTTTTGTGATTTTTAAAATAACATTTTGTGATTTAGAGCTGAGCATAACAAAAACAGTGAAATCTGGATCTGTAGGTTGCAGATGAAAACCAATAGCATTGAATATTCTATACAAATACAATCTTTTCCACCCACTTAAAAAAATTGCCAGGGTGCTTATTCAAAACCTTCATTTCAAATGTGTATGATTTTCCCATTCTCAGAAAATGACATTTAAAATAGTATATGCAGGAAAATTGCAAATGGTGTAGAGGAAGCGGAAGCTCATTTTCATTTTCATTGAATAACTTGAGCCTGAGGGCCTCTGGAATTGTCACTGCCACTTGCACTGAGAAGTAGCATAAACCGTTATCATGTTCAGAATAATTGTCAATTCTAACTGAGACAATGGCTGGAAGATGACAGGAAGTGGCTAAAAAAAGATAGACGTTTGTATATCGCTCCAGTGGAGAATGTGTAAATATTCTTTACGAATGGTTCAGGATCACTGCATATTTTTACAGCCGCACTCTTAAGAACAGAAACGTAGAGGTTGGAGGTGTTCTATTGGAGCGCGAGGTGTAAATTTGTTCACGCTCCCGTTTCTAGGGCGCAAATAGAACTGTGTGGAGCGCGGCACTAGACTGGGGTGTAAATTAAGCAGCTGTAGACTCTGGTCAGGCCTGCAATGTGAAACCTTACCCATCTACAGGAAAACCCTTTCTTTTTCTTTACATGAAGATCTTCATGGACAGCACAAGTGACTATCCTTGCTGGGTTTGAATGCATGCAAATGATTGACTCGTTCAGAATGAAACTTTCATTGTTTCACCTTTTTGAGTTTCTCATCTTTCTGCCTCTTTGTTTCAGAAATGACACTAGGCTAAAGTCCTTCCCAAGCTGTACTGGCTTAAAAGCATTTGCGGAACCATCTTCATTAATGTTTTTGTTTGTGTCGTTTCATCACAGAAACATAAAGAAAGAGATCGCCACAAACCAAAGCACAAAAAATCTTTGGAACTGTCACCTTCCCTGGTGCCAGCACTGATGGTGACCTCTGAGAAGGTGAGTTAGACTATGATAAATGCATGAGAATTAAAAAAAAAAATTATTTATAATTTCTATTAATTTTATTGTATTTTTAAAAAATATATTCATTTAATTTCTTTTTACTTTTTTGTCATTACATTATTTTACAAAAAGCACTCTAAGCATTTTTGTCCATGTGTGCCTTTCACTTTTTGGCCACAGAGCTACAACAGCAGCAGTGGTGGAAGTGTCTCCTCAATCTCCTGTACTCAGAAGCGATTGGACGACAGCGGAGGTCGTTTCACCAATGCCAACTTCCAGGAAGTTCCGTCTCACTCCAGTTCCAGCTCCAAGGATGGCAGCCTCTCTGATGGCAAGAGCTCGGATGGCAAAAGCAAGAAGTCCAGCAGTCACAGCACCAGCTCGAACTCTGGCTCCAGGGGCCGCAAGTCCGTGCCGGGCAAACCCCACGGCCCTGTGGTCACCACAGCGACGTCATCCACAGCTCCCTCCTCAACCAGTCCGTTTCAGCAAGGTGAGACTTTCAAACATGCCAACTTCACTTCAGAAATGAATTAGCATGTTCCCAAATTGAGCTGCCAGATTCAAGTCTCGTGTCGACTTCCTTTGTGTGACATTTGAGTGAGTCTGTTGTGACAGGGCTGGATGGAAGCCAGAAGCCGTAAGCTTGGCGTGTGTGTGTGATAAGGCTGTCGTCTGACTGGCTGCTGCTGCAATGTGGAGCGGCGAGTCTTTCCGAGCCGTTTGTGCCGTGGGTGGCGTCTCCTGTGTGTGTGTGTGTTTCTGTGTGTTATGAGGGAGGTTTGGGAGTCAGAAGAGAAGCATTTTCCCTTGCTTTCTGCTATCAAGCCGTGATGGAGGGATTGAAGCAGAGGTCACGTCTGGAAAATTCAGACTAATCATTAATGTGTCAAAGTACGGCAGGGGCCTCCTTGCTGGAGTTACAGGCAAACTTCGAGGAACACTGGAAGAAGAAACAACACAGTGTTTTCTCAGCAGAGCGCAATGAGATCAAAAGATGGTGGTGATTAACTATGGAGACTAATCTTCTGCCTGGGAGTATGTCATATTGTATGGGCTCTTGTGACAACACCCGACACAGACCCAGGGTCGGTGAGCCACTCGACTGTTCTGTTCCGCTGCCCTGATGTAATATTCCAATATCAGCAATCTTTTATTAAATTGAGCCCTTTGTGTTTGACAGTAGCAGGGAGCTATAGTAATATGGAAAGCTTTTTATAATGCAGAATATTTGAGTCTTGTTGTTGTTGATATAAGAAAGGCAGATAAAATCTAATATTCTTTCAGACAGGGTTTAGGTTGATCTCTGGGTCACTTGCTTAAATTCAGCTCTTTTTCTTTTTTTTTATATTTCTTTTTATTGCATTTTAACAATACACGTGTACAAATAAATTTCCATGTAACACACACACACAAAATAATAATAATAAAAAAGGGCTTCTCAGTATTTTACATTAATATACAATATCACCTCTTTTTTTTAGTCTATCAACACATTTCCAACTCCACCACATTTTAAAAACAATTTGAAAGGTCCCCAAACTCCATCAAAAATTTTGTATTTATCTCTTAATATACGAGTTATCTTTTCCATTAACACATTTTTTACAATTTTTTTCCGCCATTGTCCTATATTTGGTGCATATATACTTTTCCAATTGAAAGAAATAAGCCGTTTCGCATATATTACATACATATATTTACAAATATATACTCCGTCTTTTTTAACTTGATCTCCTTAGGATATAAAATGAAATAAAAAGATTAAAGGTGACAGTGGTGTGTTAACATCAAGGATCTTTTCTATCATTTCTTTCACATCTTTCACTCCCATATACAGTGGTATAGCGTTCCTTTAAAGTCACTGCATCTTAAGCAAGTAGGTACGTTTACATGGACACTTTTTGCTTCCATCTGAATTAATTCATTCTGTTTTAGAGGTTTACATGTCCTCTCACTCGGATTACAAAAGGAATAAACCACCCCTTACAATCCGATCAAAATTTTGGTCGGATCTGTCCAATTCAATCCGATTGATGTGTTTACATGTGACTTTTTTTATTCTGATTATGCTTCTAGTCCTATTACGATCGGATTAGTAGGGTCCATGTAAACGCAGCTAGTGTCTGGGATATTTTCATTATATTTATGCAATACAACTGGAGTTATGTAAATCCTCATCAACCACTTATATTGTAGCAGTTTCAGTCGTGTGCTCATTGTTAGTGATTTGAAGAGTCCTTTGATCCTGACACCAGCATATTATATAATGAAGAAATTAAACCTTTACTAAAACAATTTCTTGTCACTTCTTTTTACAAAATAGATGGCATATCGAGGGAATTATTTTGTGATTTGAGGATACAATTTCTTATTTGTAAATAATTAAAGAAATGTTTTGTAGGAATATTGTATGTATTAACTATTTCCTCAAATGACATAAGAGTATTGTTAACATATAGATCTGCTATCTTTCGAATGCCCTTGTCAGCCCAAATCTTGAAACCTGCGTCTAATCTGCCTGGTTTAAATTTTTCATTGCCCCAAATGGGACTAAAAGAAGATAAAGGGTAGAAGGCACCTAAATATTTTTTCACATCAAACCATACAGCAATCATATTTATAACTTTGGAAACATGATTGGAAACATTTTTTTTTTTAAGATCTTTCAATTCTGATGAATATAAACACAAATTTAAAGGCAGGCCAGAATTAATGGCAGCCGATTCCATATCCACGCAAGACGGGCAGTTCTGAGATAAAAAAAAATAAAACATAATTGTTCTAAGTTGCACAGCCCAATAATACCAATGAAAATTAGGACACTGTAGATCTCATCTATCATATGGCAAATATAGAAGTGTCAGACAGAGTCTGGAACATCTGTTATTCCAAATGAATTTAGTGAACATTTTTGTCGTTGAACAAGTCGTTGAAATATATGTTTAGGGGGAGGCAGAGGAATGTTCTGGAATAAATATAAACATTTTGGCAAAATATTAATTTTCAAAATAGTTATTCGACCAATTAAAGATATGGGTAAGGACATCCATCTTTCTATAGAGCTACTAACACTTTCAAGAAGTGGATCATAATTTACTTGCACAACATCTCCTAGTTTTGGTACAATTTTTATACCCAAGTATGTAAAACGGTCAACTATATTGAAGGTTGCAACACAGTTACTAGGTTGCTGTCTGTCAATCTCATTTAGATATAGAATATAACTTTTAGAATTGTTAATTTTGTATCCAGAAATTTTTCCAAATGTACTGATAAGATCTAATAAAGCAGGTATTGATGTATCAAGATGCTTTAGGAAAAGAATGACATCATCAGCGAATAACGCAATTTTATGTTCTATCTGTCCAATCTTAATGCCTGTTAATTCCAC